GCATTCAGTATTCGTAGGTCCAGGCATATGGACCAAGGCCTCCACTGTTTGTGTTTTTGGTAATTCCATTGTTTCTCCGTCGGTCAGTGGCAAAATATTCTCGAGAGAGTCTACAGTCAGTGCGCGGTCGTCGGAAGGATGCGTGTCGCGAACGTTCTCCTCGGTTGATTCCTCGATATGTGGGTGGTCATTTGTGAGATGTCCTTCGTGACCGTCTTCTTCGTGTGATTCTTCAATGTCGCTATCTTCTTCAAGAAGGCGTTGGATAATTTCTGCATCTTTTGGATCATTTGGATTTAATTTGCTTCTTGTATTTATCATCTTGCAATCCTTTGAAGGTGAGTCAATAGGATTCCGTGACAATGCATCAGCATTTACATTAGTTTTCCCGGCCTTATAAACTACATCATAATCATACTCAGATAATTTCAATCTCCATCGAAGTATTCGCATGTTCGCATCCTGAGCGTTCTTAAACCACATTAAAGGTTTATGATCTGTTACAAGAGTGAATTTTCTTCCGTATAAATACGGTCTAAAATGCTTAACACAATATATTATTGCTAAAGCTTCCTTTTCGTAAGTATCATATTTTATTTCATTCTCACTCAGGGTACGAGATGCGTAAGCTATAGGTCGATCCTTATTAATAACTCCTTGAGATAGAATTCCGCCTATGGCATAACCGGATGCGTCGGTTGTTAAAATAAATGATTTTGAGAAATCGGGGTATTGCAGCACAGGTTCCTTACATAATTCGTTCTTTAGTATTATGAATGATTGTTGTTGTTCTAATCCCCATTGGAAAGGTATTTCCTTTTTTAATAGTTGTGTTAAAGGTCTTGATAGTTTAGAAAATTCAGGAATAAATCTCCTGTAATACCCCGCTAATCCCAAAAATTGTTTAATATTTCTTGGTGTTTTTGGTATTGGAAATTCGTGTACAGCTTCTAATTTTTTAGGATCCGGTTTCACTCCTCCATTGCTAATCACATGACCTAAATAATTGACTTCTCTGCGTAAAAATTGACATTTATCGGGTTGTAATTTTAAATTAGCTTCTTTGAGTCGTTGCATTAATTTTTCGAATTTATGTTTGTGTTCTTCTAAAGATGATGCGTATACTACAATATCATCCAAGTAAACAAATGCTTCCTGTCCTTGTATTCCCGATAAAACGATGTCCATTAATCGCTGAAAAGTTGCAGGAGCATTTTTTAAACCGAAAGGCATACGATTAAACTCATAATGTCCAAAAGGTGTGGTAAACGCGGTTTTATGTCTATCGCGAGGATCCATTTCAATTTGATGGAATCCTGAAGCTAAATCAAATACAGAAAAATATTGAGCTCCACCGAGTTGATCTAGGATGTCGATTATATTAGGTAACGGATAAACGTCTCCAATAGTTTTATCATTTAATAAACGAAAATCCAATACCATACGCCATCGCTTATTGCCCAATTGATCTGCCTTTTTGGGTACAATCCAAATTGGAGTATTATACGGCGATTGAGAAGGCCGAATAATACTATTGGCTAATAGTTCTTGTACTTGTTTGTCAATTTCTTGTTTGTGAATTTGAGGAAATCTATATTGTTTTGTATTAATTGGATATTCGTCTATAGTCGGTATGCGATGTTGCAGTACGTGCGTCGAAGTCAGTTGTTCTCCAGGCAAATAGAAGCAATCTTGATGAGATTGTATTAATGCAATTATGCTACTAGTTTCGTTTTTATTTAAATGGTTAAAACCCATTAGGTCAAATAGTCTGTCTAATCGTTCGTCATCATGGTTGTCGGTTGAATTTATTTGGAGAACGTTTGTATGCAACTTTGAATTAATGAAATTGTTATTGAGATAAGTGGCAGTGTCTATATCGCACTGTTGTTTTGTTCCGTCGTATCGTTGAGACGTGTCAATGTTTCGTCCGTTCGTCAAGAAATCGGCTGCTGCAGGCTTTCCAGCATTTGTAGTTGAGACTGGGAGAGCTAGAACTGTCGTATTGTTATTAGAAGCGTGATTACATTTAAATTCAATTGCATTATTTTGGTCGGAAGATTGTAAAGATTCCTGGTTACGAGGGAAAATTGAAAGATCAATTACTGGCACACAGTTAGCATCATTTATAATATTTTCATTTCTATCTGTATAATTCTCATTGCATTTTTTAATTTTTTGAGTTTTAACATTTTCATAGGAAGCCTTAAATACTCCCTCTTGAGTTTCATTAAATTTTGTACATATCTTTTCAGTTACATTTGAGAAATTATATTCTGGATAATACGATTGTACTTTATCGTGTGACTCTTCTTCGATAATATATATACTTTCATTAGTTTTTAGAGTGTTTTCCTTAGAGTTATTATATATTTCAAGAGATTTTTCCTCCTGGTTACCCACTTTCTCCCTTGGACGAGGAATCTGGAAATTGTCCCCTTGGTCGGGAGGATCGTGGTTTGGATAGGAGAATTGGGAATTTTTCCTTGAAATCTTATCTAAGTCTTTGCCTAATCCTACAAGAAGAGTCGATTCGAACATTTTTTGTTGATTAATTTTTTCTTTTTGTTTAATAGGAGCATGGAAGGTCGCTCCTTGCTTCTTATTCTGAATTTTCGTCACTAGGCGGGGAAGTTGAGATTGATTCCCCTTTTCAAAATTTTTGTTTTCAACATTTCTTGATTCGACAGGGGTTGCGAGATTTTCCTCCGGTGAGTTAATATGTATATAATTAAATGTACCTTGGCCGTCGCATGATGCCGCATTTCGTGGTTCTCTTTCTTCGCGGTCAAGAATATATTCCCCTTTATCTTTAGGTTTTTCGTTATCTCTATTATTCTCAATATTTCCATCTTTAATATCGTTATCCTTCTCGTTATCCTTTAAAATCGCGGGTCGTACATTGATAGTTGGTATTAATATTTCTATCTCAGTATTCAAAGAATTAATTATGTTAGTGTAAGCCTTACCGTCAAATTCATAAAATATATTTGTTTCGTCGCTCTAAATGAGAAAACTCTCAGAACAATGTCATAGTTGTTCAGTGCACTACTCAATAAAAATATATGAGATAATAATTATTCATTCTTTATTAATGGGAAAAGATTTTCCTTTGGTTTAAATGTTCAAGAAATGTTATTTGTTCTCTGAGAATCTTTCAATTTTTACGTTCGTGAAAAGTTTATAAAATTTGTAAAGAAAGAAAATTATTTTACTACCTACCTGTTCAAGAGTTGCGCATAAGAGATATTTTAACAAATCTGAACCTGAATCAGTCAACAAATTAAATCTTTTCAGTCAAAGAAGGTAAGCGTAAGTAAGATAAGTATAAATAATAAATTAAATATTATTCTCTCGATATAATAATAATTATTTTTTCTTTAGCTGAATCATCGAAGTAAATATTCTGTTATAAATTGACTTTTCGGATTACAATATTAATTTGATTTTTCAGAGTACGCTTTCAAATTGACTCTTCGGAATACGCTATTAAATTGACTTTTCGGAGTACACTTTTGAATTGACTCTTCTGACTATACATTTGTTAGTTGACTCTGTGGAGTACATATTTTTTAATTAACTCTTCGGAGATAAGAGGAGAGAAACATTTTATATTTTATTTAAAAAATCTTAATTTTTGCAGAAAACTGATTGATGAAGAAAAAAATCAATTCACGATCTCAACGAAGATCTTAAAAAATTACTATAAGAAATGAAGTTGTTGTTATTATATACCATATTGTACAATATTAAAATATACGTGCAATAATTATCTATAATTTGCATATATGAGCGTTTATGTAATTATAAGTAATATAAAAGTCATGACAAATTAATGTGGCCGTGCGTTATCTTTGTCGCGTCAATGCTAGAAATCGTCCGAACTCTCGAAATTATTTTCTTCCAGAATTATGAATATAAAATAATGTGTAAAGGAAAACAAGGGGGTGAAAGAGGAGACGGCGACGTCTGCTTTACGATAACATCGCTGCTGGCTCGCTTCGTCGCGATTGTCTATTCGCTGGTAGTGAGACAAAGACCGATTCTTCGTTTTTATCTAACTAATCTAGCTTGCTCGTGAACATAGCACAGAACAGAACCAAATAATTATGGACATAGCACGGAATAGTACCAACAAATCGTGGACATTGGCTTAGTAGTTCATGTCCATGAAAAATGGACCCAGTTGGCGCTTCGAATCAGCCAACTTTTCCATAACGCTGTAAATGCAGCCATGCCCGCTCTCAGGCTTCTCTCTGGAATAGGTCTCATCATTCTGTAGTCATTTTGATGTCAACATGATGTGGGTTACATTTTTGCCATATAACATTATAATTATCATCTAAACAACTATTTATATTTTTTTGAAATGAGAAATGAAATTTAATTGCGTACAACGTTAATCAACCTGATGTCAATTTTTCATCAAATTGAATTATTTTTTTGACGCAATAAACAACGTTTTGATGTCATATTGATATCATTTTCACTAAGCTGTTTTCACTGGGTATATAGGCGTTTATGTAATTATAAGTAATATAAAAGTCATGACAAATTAATGTAGCCGCGCGTTATCTCCGTCGCGTCATTGCTAGAAATCATCCGAACTCTCGAAATTATTTTCTTCCCGAATTATGAATATAAAACAATGTGGAAAGGAAAACAAGGGGTTGAAAGGGGGGACGGCGACGTCTGCCTTACGATGACATCGCTGCTGGCTCTCTTCGTCGCGATTGTCTATTCGCTGGTGGTAAGACAAAGACCGATTCTTCGTTTTTATCGAACTAATCTAGCTTGCTCGTGAACATAGCGCAGAACAGAACCAAATAATTATGGACATAGCACGGAATAGTACCAACAAATCGTGGACATTGGCTTAGCAGTTCATGTCCATGAAAAATGGACCCAGTTGGCGCTGCGAGTCAGCCAACTTTTCCATAACGCTGTAAATGCAACCATGCCCGCTCTCAGGCTTCTCTCTGGTATATGTGACATCAACTATAGATAAATGCGCGCATATGCGTGAAACGGAACGTACCCCTAGTTTGTACTTCTTATTCATCATGGCGATAAATTTGAACATATGTTTCATAGTTTTATGAGGCAAGCCAGAGTTTCGATTAAGTGTTAATTAAGTCACATCTGAAAGGTCACGAATAACAGGTATTCTTGCTATTTGAAATCGTACAGATGAAGCTTCATTAAAAATTAAGTAACTCATGTTAAAAAAACGTGTATCCGCATTTCGCATTAGGTTAGGATACAATCGGAAGAATAATCGACATACCACACAAAACATGCTTAATGAAAAACCTCTTTTATTATATAATATTATTTCGTTATCTGACATAATATTTTGGTCATTCAAAATTAATTAAATAATCTCATTGAAATAATATAGACATGTGTCTTAGAATATTATTTTCCGAACTCAACAGATACAATTCTCGATTAACTCATTGTATTACATTAATTACTATTAATAAACCATAGAAGGAAGTGAACGAATAAAAACCACATGTATCTCATACATTCATATGTGTTTGTCGTAAATTACTATTATTAATATCTCGCATGATTACATCTTGGTATATTGTGACACAATTTCATGTATTGCGATATATCTTGATGTGTAGCAAAATCTTGATGTATATAAAAAAATCTATACTTTTATTATTATTATTATTAATATGTTGTATAATGATTCTTCAATTACATATTGAAAGTTGTAAATGAGAATATCTCTTTTAACATAGTAATAGGAGGTTATGTCATATAGGATATTTTACAACTAATGAATCATATGATATGTCTTCTGGATCCAAAGAAAAGAAATTATATTTTCTGCTCTACTTATATGAAATATCATTTAATCTACATTGACATCTGGGAAATGTTTGTCCAAGTGCTCGAAGAAGTTATCAAAGAATATCTCCCTGATAATAGAAATTTTAGCATAAAGTTAAACTTAAGATATTCTAATCTTCCTAGCTGGCTGCTGCATTTGGTCACGCTTTGAGCATCGGGGCTGTAACAATGGAGCAAGAGAACCATGTTAGTAAATGCACATACATATCTAAATGAAATTGAAATTATTACTTTTTTTCTAAGAAAGAACATCTTTATTTCATGAAATCTATAAATTTTACTCATTTACTAATGATAGTGCATACTCAGAATCAATAATCTCAACAAACTAGCTACTCACATGGGTATTTTGTATGCTTTGCTATTAATGTTGCTTAAATATTTAAGTATGTTTACATACACACACATATTTCTCTTTCTTTTCTATTCATCTGTTTCCTTCTATTGACTTATTTATTTTTTATTTATCATTTAGCTTAATATTGTTATCACTTAATACTATATTCTTGTTATATCACTTAATACTATATTCTGTGTATATCTATTATTAATTTTAACATATGTAGTAAAATCCAAAATTTTGCAACTCAGAATATAATATGAAATGAGGTAAATATATAGAAAAAGATGCACCTCACCGATTTTTTTCATTTTGAAATATATTATAAAGGATGAGATTCTGAGTGACTTTTCCTAATATAATTATATGGGGGTCGCTTATAGTTTCTGAGATATTTGACTTTAAAGTTTTATAATTGTATGTTGAAGTATATTTGAAGTAGAGGTAAATATATAAAAAGGAATGCATCTCACTAGTTTTTTCCATTTTAAACTATGTTATGAAAGATGAAATTCTGAGTGACTTCCTGATACAACTATATAGGGCTCGCTTATAGTTTCCGAGATATTTGATTTTAAAGTTTTGGAATTTTTATTATTCTGGAATTAAATTCCAGATATCATAAGCTGATGTTATTTACAGTACAATCCAAACAGTTAATTCAAACATAGTGTATACATAGAAATATAGGAAACAATACATATAAGCGGGAGAGGGGTTCCGCCCCTCCCCCGCACCCTCTCCCTAAAAAATCCTAACCTAACCTAACTTATTGCATCTTTATATATATTGTAGGACGATGTTGAAAAGATCTCCTTAAAGCCACAACACCTAATTATATGCAGATATAATAAGTTAAGTTGAGCCAGGTGATAGATCTTAAAAGAACTTTTTTCAACAATGTCCAGAAATATATAAAGATGCACTAAGTTAGGTTAAGTTAGGATTTGTTTGGGGTGCGGGAGAGGGACGAAGCCCCTCTCCCGCTTATATGTACTATTTCCTATATTTAAAGTGAATGAAAACTGCTTGTCATGTACTTCACATATACTTCAACGTACAAATATGAAACTTTAAAGTCAAATATCTCAGAAACTATAAGCGACCCCCATATAATTATATTAGGAAAAGTCACTCAGAATTTCATCCTTCATAACATATTTCAAAATGAAAAATATTGGTGAGGTGTACCCTTTTCCATATAATTACCTGAAATGAAACAACTACTTTTCTTTTTACGTATAATGATTATTTTTATAATTTGTATAATTTTTTTGTATAATAAATTGAAATTAATTTATTTCAATATATTTGTTAGAACAATAAACTAATTTCTCTGAACCATTAAACTATTGCACAGCTAAAAAAATATTTTCTATTGATAGTTTTTGGGACATAAATTAAACCTCAATTTTGAAAATAAAATAGTAATCTTTACTCAAATATAGTCCTTAATAATTATTTTTTATTTTCACAATTTAAGTCTGATTTGTGTAACTATCAGTGATGAAAAATAATGTCTCCAATGTTAAATTATGTTAAAAAGAAAAATTCAGGATATTTTTTAATAATACAGAATTTATTTTTTAATAATACAGAATTTATTTTTTATTAATTTATTATTTTAAAATGTTTTTAAATAACCGTTTATTATATTTAAACATAAAGATAGCTGTTTTATCGTCTTTATTATATCTTTGTATTAAAAACTACTGGATCTTATTACATACAATAGAATAATAATAATACTTTGAACTTCTCTTTTACTGTTCTAATGATTTTATGCGTAGGCTGACCCTTACTAAACTATTTGGTTTATTCTTAATATTTATCCTTCTTTTAAATGAATATTAAGATACTGGCTTTGAATTATAAATAACTTTAAATAATATATTTCTAGAAAACTAAAGCTGAGCTTCAAAGCAATTAATAAATAACAAACTTCATGATTCAGATTTTCAGTTAATTTACATGTTAATTAAGAATCAATCATTCAGATTTCTTAATTAATCTTAATATTTTGATATGATTTTTATTGAGCTTTAATTTGAGTCTTAAAGATATATATTAAATAAGCAAATTAAATATTTATTTCTATATCATTTTATTCATATTCTTTATATAATTATATCAGGCAATTAATAAAAATTATACGCAGTTCCCTTAATTTTTATAAAAATTATTGACAAATATATTATTTTAACTGTTTACTTCAATATTATCAAGTTATAGTTATTGATTTATCAGTTCAAATATCCATTAAACATTAATTTTTTTCTTCTAAAATACACATTTACAATATAGAATGTAACAAGAAATGAGATATATATTAGATATAATGGAAGATTAGACAAAATATCTTACAAGTATATGTTTTAGTCAAACTTTATTATATATTTCAAACAAAGTAATCACACATACATACATATATCATAGAATCGAATAATTACAATTATATATTTCAGTTGACTCAACAAGAGGCTCGAAAATCAGTCACAAAAGCCACAGCGAGGCATCTCCGTCGCAAGCGCCTTAAGGATGCTCGAAGAGCCGAGGAACGACAGTATCTAGATATTCTCGACGGTGTAAGTAGTCACATCAAGGACGAAGTGAATAGCACAACAAAGAATAGTGCAGACATAAGTGATAAATCGACACTAACATCGCAGCAAACTGCCTTGGATTTGGCGTCTGCCGGATGGGATAAATCCGTATTTTCACATTCAGCGGTAAATTTGTCTTTACCAGACCCGTTGAATGATCTTACCATCGCTGCTATTCTTAAGAAACTTGCGAGCTTAGAAGATAGTCATGCTAAACTAACAAACTTTCCTCATTCGGATTATTCGTCCAACGTGATCGACGAAGCGAGATGTATAAATGGAGTGGAAAATTTTTCTCAGACTACAAACGATAAGAAGAAAAAGAAGAAGAAGAAACATAATGCAGAGTCATCTGTTGCTAGCGTAACATTAGAGGAGGACTCTTTAAACGCTTCCTCGTCGAATTCCGAATCGAATGTTTTCAATTTAAACTGTGATTCTAGTTGTTCCGCAAGTAGGTTAGACTCGGATTTAACGGAAAATGGACAAATTTTAGAACAAAGCGTAAACGTAAACATTGCTGATTCTGATAACTCCGCGCAAAACGATATCGAGCCCGAGAGTATCGAAATCAAGAGTGATGAAGCGAAAGTGAGCATAACAAACCACGTGAATTGTTTATCAGCGAATAACGTAAGCGACAGAAGCATCATAAAAACAACCAGTAGTCAAAGCGACATAAGCGCCAAGAACGAAGATATGAACGTGTCAACATCTCTGATCGTCAGTACATCGGGAAAAACATTTCATTCTCCGGTAAAGACGAAAGAGGAGATAAGTACACAGAAGGCCGCTAAAATGAAGGCGTACGGCAACAAGGTAACGGAGTCCATGCCTTTATGAAAAAAACCTCAATCTTGAGTGTTAACATTCAAAAAACGCTTAACTTTGGGTGTTAAACACCGATAAAAAACGCTCAACTTTGAGTGTTATACACCGAATAAACACTCAATTTTGAATGTTATACACCGAAAAAACACTCAAATTGGGTGTGATTTCGGATCGTCAATTGAAGGTTACACTCAAATGAGAATTAACGCTCAACGAAAACTCATAAAATAACACCCAAATAAAACCCTGAAAAGGAAACCCTGAAATTAAATGCACCCAAATTTTGCAATAGACAGCAATACACATAAATTAAAGCATATGTTCGTGAAATCATTGTTTATTTGTTGTTTCCACTTAAGAACTTAAAAATAAGCCATTGATCGAATAAATAAACAGGCTAAATATACTTTCATTTAATTGTATCAGATTCATTTTGATAGTATTCGTTTTCAGTTTAATTGTAGAGTTAATTAATCATCAAACGTAATACTCGAATGAGATGTAATACTCTAATGAGAGTATATATACACCCATTGCGCAAACAGTAAACATTAGGTATTGAATACATATGTTTAATGTCCTACTCAAAAACTACGACATTAAACATATACAGGGGACGGACAAAATAATGTGAACACCATGCTAAATATTACATATTTGTTTGTGTTGGGCTCCCTGCTAAGGTATGAACGGTGCGGCGCGTATACCACCTTGATCAAAAAGTTTCAGGAACGACCAGCGTGTGATGCTCTCAGTCACCCGATTTGAGTTCTTATTTTTTGGTTAGGTTGCCACATCTGTCATAGACATTCCCACCAAATTTCAGCGTCATAGCTTGACATTTGTAAAAGTTACGCCGTCTTGAGTACATCTGCCTCTGTGCATATTTTCGATTTTTTACGATTTTAAAAATGAAATCGACTCGCACAATGCCATTATCTGCAACTTTTTGACCAAGAACGGAACGAATACCATCCAACAGCCACCGAATTCGCCTGATTTGGCTCCCTGCGACTTCTTCCTGTTCGGTCGATTTAAAAAACCGCTCCGGGGAACGTGTTTCAGCAGCCAAGAGGAGATAATGGAAAAATCGAAGACGGCTCTGATGGCCATATCGAAAACTGAATATCAAAAATGTTTTGAGGATTGGATCAAGCGCTGGCATAAGTGCGTTGCAGTCGATGGAGAGTATTTTGAAGGGGACAATATCGATTTTGATGAATAAACTTGTATTTTTAATTTTCTGAATAAATTCCTGAAACTTTTTTATCAAAGTGGTATGTGGCGCACTTTACCTAATAATCGTTCTAGTTTATAACTCAGTATACTACTCACTTTGTTCTGCGATGGTGTTAACAATCAGACGGTGAAATTAGCGACCTGTTAGACTTTGAAAGAGGACAAATCGTGGATGCTCGATTAGCAGGAGCATCTGTGACAAAAACGGCTGAACTGTTTAACGTTTCACGAGCGACAGTATCCACTGTGATGACAGCCTACACAAAACGTGGCAAAACAACATTTGCGAAGAGGAGTGGGCGCAAAACAACGTTAACAAACAGGGATTATTAACGCCGGATATTAAAAAGGATTGTGACCAAGCAATATAAAACTACTGCAGCAAAGGTGACAGCAGAACTCAGTCATCTGAACAACCCTGTTTCGACAAAAACAGTGCGGCGGGAGCTTCACAAAAGTAACATTTATAGCAGGGCTGAAATTTCAAACCCTTTTATAACGGATGCCAACGCAAAGCTGCGAAAGAAGTGGTGCCATGATCATAAAACTTGGACAATTGATGATTGGGAGAATGTAGTATGGTCCGATAAATTATCGTTTACTTTGTTCCCTACAAACGGCCGGGTTTATGTATGGAAACTCTCCAAAGAAGCCTACGATCCAGATTGCTTACTATCCACAGTCAAGCATGGGGGCGGCTCCGTGATGATTGGGGCGACTATATCATGGTATTCCGCTGGTCCGATTATTACTCTCAATGGCCGTATTACGGCGAATGAATATCTAAACATCCTCAATGATGAAGTTCTTACTATGACCAGTATATTGTTGCCAAACACTGCCATATTCCAAGACGATAATGCGCCCATACATACGGCCAAAAAAGTTCAGTCTTGGTTCGAGGAACATCGGAATATTATCAAGCATCTGTCCTGACCAGCACAATCGCCAGATCTCAACATCATTGAGCTATGGGGAGTTTTGGAGCAGAGAGTGAGGAGCAGATTTCCACCTCCATCATCATTGAGATAATTGGCGGAGATGTTGCCGGAAGAATGGGACAACATTCCGTTGGATATTATCCGTACACTCTATGAATCTATTCCGCGACGAATACAGCTGTTTTAAAAGCAAACGGTGGCACTACACATTATTAATTAACAAATATTGTATATTAGTCTGGTGTTCACATTATTTTGTCCACCCCCTGTATGTTATGTATTTAATACTTAACGTTTTTACTATTTGCATAATGAGTATACATATATCTTTATTCGAATATTACACCCAGTTAATGGAACACCATCAAAATGAACGTGTAACAGTCAAAATGAAAGTATATTTAGCCTATTTTGTTATTCAATTAATACCTCATTTTATAATTAATCATTAATACCTCGTTAATACCACATTTACAAGTTATTAAATGAGAATACAATGAATAAACAAGGGTTTCACGAAAACATACTTTCATTTGTATATATTGTCGTCTACTGCAAACTTGAAAATTCTGAAACATGAAGAATAAAAAACTAATTACTCAACATTATATTTTATTTAAAATGTAGGTTTCTTAATCACTGGCACGCGCGCACTATTGCACCATTGACGCTCTAACCGACACACACTATTAAATATCTACATCAAACTAACACTGAATGTTAATGGTCATACTTAACCGACATCCAATATTGATGCCCAATGCTTAACCACTCAATATTCGGTGTCTACACCGAATATTGATGGTTACACCCAACTGACACCCAATATTGAATGTCTACACCAAGATAATAACGAATATTGATGGTCACACTCAATTGACACTCAATATTGAGAATCTACATCAAAGTTACACCGAAAATTTGATAGTTACACCCAGCCGAAACTCAACATTGATGCTCAACATTCAACTAACACCGAATGTTGATGGTTAACACTCAACTTTCATGGTAAACATCCAAACTTCAATGTTTACACCCAAAATTGAGGAATTTTTTTTTTTCATAAGGGTAATCTGCTTGAGTTCAGTTTCCGACACGAACTGCGAACTCAGTAAATCAGGCTCCGTTTCTTTCAAATCTTGTTTTCCTTTTTCCGGGAAATTAGATTTCTTATCCATGGTTTCAATCGACGAGGTCAATTCCTGTGCATAAACATTCAACTTCGTAGTTTCGAAAATGGCGATCGGGTCACCTTGGACACTGCTCTCCTCTGAGTCCAGCTTGGGCTCGATTTTCGTCGCAAGCTGCGAACATTGCGCGTCAACTACGATAGTCGCCTTTGGCGAATGATCCGCCGTGTTTACGAAAATTCTTATTTCCTTACCCGTGCAGTTAGCTGTTGAAAAGCTGTCTTTGACATCATTGTTATCGCTAGCCGTGCTTCCCGCTGTCTTCGTCTTTAATTTAGCGACTTTCTTTAGCTCGCGCTGCGCTTTCACTTCGCCTCATCTTTTCCAGAACTACGAGTTTTTCATTCGCCTTCTTGGTCGGAAAAACCAGTTCCCGCGCTGACCTGCTTGGTTTCTCGCTCTTGCTGATGGTGCTCGAACCATTTTCGATACTATTTTTCTCTGTATTCTGCTGCTTGGGTGTGGTTTTTTTCACGGGTTGAGAGTTCTGTGGATCAGCCGCGGCATCTGTCTTCCGTGACTTCGCCGCTGCGTTTTTAACGCCGTTTCCGTGTTCTTCCTGGGACTCTTCTTCGAATTCTTATCGTTGGTCGTCGAAGGCTCGTTCTTTACAACGCTACCACCGCTGGCCACTCTTATGAAAAAAAACCCTCAATTTTGGGTATAAACATTGAAATTTGGATGTTTACCATAAAAGTTGAGTGTTAACCGTCAACATTCGGTGTTAGTTGAGTGTTGAGCATCAATGTTGAGTGTGACTATCAAATTTTCGGTTTAACATTGATGTAAATTCTCAATATTGAGTGTCAATTAGGTGTAACCATCAACATTCGTTATTATCTTGGTGTAGACATTCAATATTGGGTGTCAGTTGGGTATAACCATCAATATTCGGTGTATTATTGGTATAGACACTGAATATTGAGTGGTTAAGCATTGGGCATTAGTATTGGGTCGGTTAAATATGACCATTAATATTAAGTGTTAGTTTGATGTAGATATTTAATAGTGTGTGTCGGTTAGAGCGTCAATGGTGCAATAGTGCGCGCGTGCCAGTGGTTAAGAAATCTATATTTTAAATAAAATATAATGTTGAGTAATTAGTCTTTTATTCTTCATTTTTCAGAATATTTCAAGTTTGCAGTAGACGATAATATATACAAATGAAAGTATATTTTTGTGAAACCCTTGTTTATTCATTGTATTCTCATTTAATAACTTGTAAATGAGGTATTAATTGAATAACTAAACAGGCTAAATATACTTTCATTTGACTGTTACATATTCATTTTGATGGTGTTCCATCAACTGGGTGTAATACTCGAATAAAGATATATATACATATACTCATATAAAAACGTTAGGTATTAAATACATAACATATGTTTAATGTCGTACTTTTTGAGTAGGACATTAAACATATGTATTCATTATCTAATGTTTACTATTTACGCAATGAGTGTATATACAGAGTGTCCCATTTTAATGTTCCATCACAAATAACTCTTCAGTATTGAAGTTTCAAGGAAAATAATCTAAATAAAAGTTGTAGGGATTTAAGTGAGCTACCTTATGATGACCTTGACTTCGATCTCTATTTTCAATGTCATTTGAAGGTCAACTTGCGTTTTTTAAATGGGAATTATCCTTATTTTTTATTACACTGTTTTTTCTACTAGTTAATTTGAACAACTTTTGTTTAAAACATTTTTTTATTTGTCTAACCATTTTTCAGATATTTGGAGAAAACTTGAGAACTTTTTCAATATTTAACTTACGATATCTCGCTAATAATTTGTCAGAAGAAAAAGTGATATTAGAATTTCTTGCTTTATTTAGTTTCAAGAATATATTGTTACAATAGCGCTCTGATTTTTGTTAATTTGATGATTTTGAAATTTCCAAAAATCAGTAAGTTAACAAAAATCAGAGCGCTATTGTAACAATATATTCTTGAAACTAAATAAAGCAAGAAAGTCTAATACCACTTTTTCTTCTGACAAATAATTAGCGAGATATCGTAAGTTAAATATTGAAAAAGTTCTCAAGTTTTCTTCAAATATCTGAAAAATGGTTAGACAAATAAAAAAATATTTTAAACAAAAGTTGTTCAAATTAACTAGTAGAAAAAAACAGTGTAATAAAAAATAAGGGTTCCCATTTAAAAAACGCAAGTTGACCTTCAAATGACATTGAAAATAGAGTCAAGGTCATCATGAGGTAGCTCACTTAAATCCCTACAACTTTTATTTAGATTATTTTCCTTGAAACTTCAATACTGAAGAGTTATTTGGAGTGGGACATTAAAATGGGACACTCTGTATACCCTCATTAGAGTATTACACCTCATTCGAGTATTACGTTTGATGGTTAATTAACTCTACAATTAAACTGAAAACAAATACTATCAAAATGAATCTGATACAATTAAATGAAAGTATATTTAGCCTATTTATTTATTCGATCAATAGCTTATTTTAAGTTCTTAAGTGGAAACAACAAATAAACAATGATTTCACGAACATATGCTTTAATTTGTGTGTATTGGCGTCTATTGCAAAATTTGGGTGCATTTAATTTCAGGGTTTCCTTTTCAGGGTTTTATTTGGGTATTATTTTGAGACTTTTCTTGGATATTATTTTGAGGGTTTTCGTTGAGCGTTAACCCTTATTTGGGTGTAACCTTCAATTGACAATCTGAAATCACACCCAATTTGAATGTTTATTCAGTGTATAACACCAAAAATTGAGCGTTCATTCGGTGTATAACTCATCAAAGTTAAGCGTTTTTATTGGTGTTTAACACCCAAAGTTAAGGGTTTTTTTTAGTGTTAACATCCAAAATTGAGGGTTTTTTCATAAAGGTAGAGGAGAGAAGAATATTCAAAATAATTTAGTCGCTATTTTTAAGGATGAGAAATTGGACACGTCTCCGTGCGAACCGATGTCCTCGATCAAGATGATAGACGTAGATAGTGTATCTAGTCTTCCCGAGAAAACGAAAGAAGAAGTGAAGGCAGAACGCGAAGCAAAGAAGGCTGCTAAGGCGGCCGCTAAAGCAAAAGCAAAGAGCAAAAAAGCAGAGAAAACTACGGACAATGTTAAGAAAGACAGCATAAACGAGCTTTCGCCAACTGAACCCGAGTCGGTTTCGGTGAAAAAAGTTTCAGACAATCCCGTTGTGGCCAACGCGCAAAACTCGCAAAAGATTAACGTCATGGTGACGTTGTCACAGAGTCTCCAAGCTGCGAAAGAAACCGAGGAGAGTTCCATAAAAAGCGCGACTAGGCAATCTCCGATCGCTCAAGTCGCAAATGTTATGTCTCCGGCCGTTTCTAGGCTAGACAACACGATCTCCGACGGTAAAGCCGACGGTAAAGCTGAGGGCAAGAGCAAGGCGGAATTGCGTGCGGAACGAAGAGCTAAGCAGGAGGCTCAGAGAGCGGCGAAGCAGCTTCAACAAATCTCAGCAAAGCAGCAACTATCCTCGACGAAAAGCAACGAAAGGAGCCAAGAAACTCCTTCAGAAAAACCGCGTACACAGCAAGCGGTTGTCGAAGCTGTGAGTGTAAAAAAAATCGTGAAGAAAAGTAATGACCACCAGGTGAACCTGTTCCAGCACCTATATAATGAAAGGGAGCTCTCTTTGGCCAGCGTGCCGATCAATTCGAATATTCATCCGGCAATCATAGGTTTGGGCGCGCAGTACACGGGCAGAACGATCGTCGGCAGCAATGCGAGGTGTGTCGCGCTATTGGCAGCTGTCAAGCAGGTAATCCTGGATTTTGAGAAGCCGGAACAGGCTGACTTCACTCGTAGCCTCGAGATATGTCTGCGGGATTTGCTCGCATACCTACATCGTTGTCGGCCGGTGGCTGTTTCAATGCAAAACGCGATGCGTCATCTCAAGTGGCACATGACGAATTTCTCGGTCACTATGTCGACATGCGAGGTGAGTGCTTTCGTTCAGGGGAGAAGAGAAAATCGACTCCATAATTATACAGAGTGTCCCAGTGAATATCCCAAAGAGAACTAAATATCTCTTTTTAACAATATCATATTATCCTAACACTTTTTTGGAACTTGTTTCTGCTTTTCTATATTCAAAATCATCTCACGGTCATAACTCATATAACTACTTCGATGCACTTCAACATACTCTATAAAATGTTATATTAGGTGCGCAACTAAGTTCTCGCTGTTTTTTTTATGAAAATGCAACTTTATTGTGAAAAAATGGTTACAAATGAATCATTCAAAATATTGCCCATCGCTAGCGACAACTTTTTCCCATCTTTCTGGCAGAGCTCGAATACCGTCACGGTAGAAGTGTTCGTCTTTTGAGGCTATCCACGAATCAAGCCATTTTGAGATGTCTTCATATGAGCGGAACTGCTGATTAGCCAGACCATGTGCCATCGAACGGAACAAGTAATAATCGGACGGCGCAATATCTGGGGAATATGGCGGGTGGAGTAGGATTTCCCATTTGAGCGTTTCTAAGTAGGTTTTAACGGGTTTGGCAACGTGAGGCCGAGCGTTGTCATACTGTAGAATCACTTTTTCGAGCCTCTGCTCGTATTGTGGCTGCTTTTCGCGCAGTGCTCGGCTCAATCGCATCAATTGAGTTCGATACCGTTCCCCAGTGATGGTTTCGTTCGGTTTCAACAGCTCATAATAAATAACACCGCCCTGGTCCTACCAAATACACAGCAAAACCTTCGCAGCGTGAATATTCGGCCGAGCCGATGACGTAGAAGCATGACCGGGCAGTCCCCATGATTTTGTTCCCTTTGGGTTGCTGTAATGAATCCATTTTTCATCACCCGTAACGATGCGATGAAGAAAACCCTTCCTTTTTTGCCGCTGGAGCAGTTGTTCACAGGCGAAAAAACGACGCTCAACGTCTCTTGGCTTCAAATTATAAGGAACCCAAGTTCCTTGTTTTTGAATCATTCCCAACGCATGCAATCGCTTGGAAATGGCTTGGCGGGTAACTCCTAATGCTGAAGCAAGCTCTTTTTGCGTTTGGCACGGATCCTCATCGAGCAATGCCTCCAATTCAGCGTCTTCGAAGGTTTTTGGCCTTCCTTCACGCGAACGGTCGTCAACATCGAAATCACCGTCTTTGAAGCGACGGAACCAATCACGGCACGTTGTTTCACTTAGAGCAGCATCTCCGTAAACTTTTTGGAGTTCTCGATGCGCTTCAGCTGCCGTTTTCTTCGAATGAAAGAAGAAAAGCAACACTTCCCGCAAATGACGATTATTTGGCACAAAATCAGATATTTTCACACAACCAAAAGTATATGACGCAAAAACAAAATCACTAATGTGTCAAAGCGGTTTGTTTACCATATGTCTAAGCTTGGTTCATAACGTTTTGGTTATGTCACAATCGACCAGCACTTACTACTGGAGCCATCTCTTGAAAAACAGCGGAAACTTAGTTGCGCACCTAATAGAAAAAATATGCTTTCCTGCAAAAAATACTGGAAACCTTTAACAAATTTGAGACGGACCATAAAAAAATTTTTCTTCCACGAAATTCCTCCTTTGAAACTATTCACATTGTGTTCTAATATTTCTTATATCGTTAAAAAAGAAATATTTAGGTATTTTTATATGAAAGTATTGGGACACTATATACAGGGTGTTCATTTGAAAATTTTCCAGCTGATTATCTCGAAAATTATGAAATATATTAAAAAAAGCTAAAACACGTGTTCCATGATTTCGAAGGGGAAAGAGAATGGTATTATCAGTTTTTTACTTGGAGGGCATTTTCAAAGTCAATTGAAAGTCAAATTAATTTTTTTAAATAAAAAGCCCAATTTTTATTATATCTTCTTTTTCTACCAATTAATTTGAACAATTTTTGTCTGAAACATTTTTTATTCGCCTAATATTTTTTAAAATATTTAAGCAAAACTTGGTAACTTTTTCAACATTTAACTTACGATATCTCGCTAACTATTCGTCAAATGAAAAAATAGTATTAAACTTTTTACTTTATTTACTATTAAGAATATATTATTATAATATTGCCGTAATTTTTGTTAATTTAATAATTTTGAAATTTTCAAAGGTCGATAAGTTAACAAAAGTTAGGGCACTATTACAGTAATATATTCTTGATAGTAAATAAAGTAAAAAAGTCTAATACTATTTTTTCTTTCGACGAATAGTTAGCGAGATATCGTAAGTTAAATGTTGAAAAAGTTACCAAGTTTTCTTTAAATATTTCAAAAAATATTAGGCAAATAAAAAAATGTTTCAGACAAAAGTTGTTAAAATTAATTGATAGAAAAAGAAGATATAAAATATTGGGCTTTTTATTTAAAAAAATTAAGTTGACCTTCAACTGACCTTGAAAATGCCCTCCAAATAAAGCTAATAATGCCATTCTCTTTTCCCTTCGAAATCATGGAACACGTGTTTTAGCTTTTTTAATATCTTTCATAGTTTTCGAGGTTTTTTACCTGTTACGTTTGAAATTTGGCACCCTGTATAATAAAAAAAATTTTTATAAAATATTTTAGTTTTATATTGTATGTTGGCTTTTCTTTATAATCATGGAAGAACAAGTAATTGCGACATTATTAATTCTTAATTGGAATTTTATTGTCTATCTCTCAAGGATTTCTTATTTATTTCTCAGGCGAAAACCAAGCTAACAGGTATAATAGACACCTACATAACGGAACAAATTCAACTGGCTGGCAAAGCAATATCCATAACTATACAGACTAAGATATCAAACGGAAATATCATTTTAATTTACGGATTGTAAGTATCGAATTTATAAGAATGGATTTTTCAAATTATATATAGCTTATAAGTTTTTTACTTACATATAAGTAGAAAATATGTTTTCTGATGATATCAAACAGTCTAACTCTCAACGGTATAAAATTTTAGCTCATCCTTAATCTATAATATATTAGTGGATGCACATGCTGCGGGTAAACAATTCCGCGTTATCGTAGTCGACGGCAGACCTTGGCTAGAAGGAAGAGAACAATTGAAACGTTTAGCGAAACATGGAATCAATTGTTCATATATGTTCATCAACGCTGTGAGCTTCATTATGTCAGAAGTAAGTAATGCGTAGCTGACTAATGCAGGATGCGAATTGAAAAGCTGAAAATACACAAATAAAGCAAATTTTATTTCGATAAATTTCAACTTTCGTCATTAAAACGCTAAAAAGAATTCTTTGAAAATTCAACTTGTTTACATTCTCATTACTTTGATATGTTTGTATACCTCGGCTTCTATCCTCTCTTACACTGAGCTATTATATTTATTTTTTTGTGCAACGTGTTAACAAATATGTAATAATGTTATTTATATGACAAATTATTTCATCATTGACTAGGTTAGCAAAGTCTTTCTTAGTGCTCACGCAATATTGGCCAATGGCGCGGTGATGTCGCGAGTCGGAACTTCGCAAATCGCTTTGATAGCCAAAGCCTTCAACGTACCGGTTCTAGTAGCGTGTGAGACGCATAAGACATGTGGACGAGTGCAGACTGATTCCATTGTGTATAATGAACTTGGTAAGCAAAATTAAAAAATCTATTTGATTCACACAATAATGTATTACATGCAATTTTCCATTATTATGTACTATTGTGTTTAACTTTATTATAACTTTAAAATATACTTTATATTTTTCATTTTATTATACTATTACAATACACATAGGAGAATCTAATTTGGACTAGGCAAAACTGATTCATCCTACTGCACTTTGGAACTAGTTTGGCCTAGACGAAACTAGTTTATCCTGAAATCGGGTTTGGCCGGTAAGATATATATATATATATATATATATCTTACTAGATTTGCCAACTTTGTTCACCCGTCACTTATACAGGGTGCACCCGTCACTTATACAGGGTGGGATTTATCTGAAAACATTGAAATATCTCGAGAACTATGCATTGGATAAAAAAAAGTGGTTAATGAAAGTTGTTAGTCTCGAAGGGGGACATCCAATGATACCAAACTCGACCTCCCACCCCACCCCCTGGGGGTGGGGGTTGGAGGCAACTTTGAAATCTTAAATGGAAACCCCCATTTTTTATTGCAGATACGGATTCTACGCTACAAAATACGTAAATTTTGTCCGAAACTTTTTTTTTTATTCGTGATAGATGGCGCTGTAATCGCAAAAAATTATATTTTCCGCAATTCTCCAGAAATGATCATTGGATTGAGAAATAAGAAATACCTGTTCAATATTTTTAAAGAACATAATAAAAGTTATTCCCCCCCATCCTCTCGGGGTAGAGTGGGTGGTAACGTTCAAATCTGCATGACGGTTGCCCAGCACATAACTCAATAGCAGCACGAAGTATTAGACCGTGATTACAATGGTCGGTGGATTGGCAGAGGTGGCCCAATGGCCCGATAATTGGCCTGCTAGGTCGCCTGATTTGACATCGCCGGATTTCTTTCTGTGAGGTTACCTAAAAGATAAGGTTTATCAACAAGTGCCAACAACTCGTGAAAACATGGTAGAACGCATAAGAAACGCTTGCGCTGAAACTCTCGCAGATATGCTTCTATCCTGTGTACAGTCATTTGAAAAAAAGATCAATAAGTGTATTGAAGTTGAAGGTAAAAATTTCGAACACTTACTCTAATTAATTGAACAGTGAGAGGCAAGGGGACTCACATTAAAAAAGCACCCCGATCTGTGAGAGGCAAGGGGACTCACATTAAAAAAGCACCCGAAGGGAACATAAAACTACTACGTCCTCGTCGTTGTTCCTGTGTAACGCTAAAAATGGTTTCTTGGAAAAATTCAACGCTATCTATCACGAATGAAAAAAATTGTTTCAATAAAAATTTCACGTACAATCTAATTCTGCAATGAAAAATGTGGGTCCCCATTTGAGATTTGAACGTTATCACCCACCCTACCCCGAGAGAATGGGGGGGAATAACTTTTATTATGTTCTTTAAAAATATTGAACAGGTATTTTTTATTTCTCAATCCAATGATCATTTCTGGAGAATTGCGGAAAATATAATTTTTTGCGATTACAGCGCCATCTATCACGAATAAAAAAAAAAGTTTCGGACAAAATTTACGTATTTTGTGACGTAGAATCCGCATCTGCAATAAAAAATGGGGGTTTCTATCTAAGATTTCAAAGTTGCCCCCAATCCCCACCCCCAGGGGGTGGGGTGGGAGGTCGAGTTTGGTATCATTGGATGTCCCCCTTCGAGACTAACAACTTTCATTAACCACTTTTTTTTATCCAATGCATAGTTCTCGAGATATTTCAATGTCTTCAGATAAATCGTGCACCCTGTATATACATTTTATTCAATTGATTTATTCACTCTTTATAATCTTTAATTTCAATTTAATTCAGTTTTAATCTCATGTCTTCTACATAGCTTAATGACTATTATACTTGTTCATTTCTTTCATTCCTATCATTTCAGGGAATGCGGATGATCTCGTAACTTCGAATCAATATGGTAATTCGAGAAAGTCTCTGCTCACCAACTGGCGGGCGAGAAAGTCGCTGAATCTCTTAAACATCACATATGACGTAACACCAGCCGATCTCATTACTGCCGTCGTCACGGAACTGGCCATTCTGCCATGCACCAGTGTTCCTGTGATCCTACGAATTAAACCTTCAGAGTTTTAAATTTATGTTATATTTCTCTCTCTCTCTCACACACACACACACAAATGTAAACAACTTACTTCCCTAAATTGTTTTAGATCTATATTAAAAAAAAATGTTTTAACTATAGAGTTCCTAAATATAGAGAAAAATTAAGAATGTGTGAATATATTTAAATGAAAAATAAGAACTCTATATTATCTTTAAATATCGGATTATTTAAATATTACTTATTTATCTCTAACATTTAATGATTTCAATCATTTGCTCTAAAATGTAATTTTTCTCTTCAACCTGCCAGACGAATTAAATACAAATTAAGTAGAAATAAAGATAATATTTGTGTAGATAATGGAGAGTAATTTCATACATTTACTCACGCATTTTCTTTTTTTGAAATATGAACCTAAGATATCTTCTGGAAGTAAATTCTTCAACCGATAAATCTTGCATGATGTTAAAGACATGACAGTGACTACGAGAGAATTGCACATATATTAGTTGAAATTACCAAGTATAACATATATATATGGTGTGTATTCGTTGTCACGCGACACCATAACAACTGTAACGATCATTCGATAAATATTTTGTGAAGTAGGTGAATTAATATTGATTAATTCGTATATTGCTACGTATATAAATATATAAAAATATATATGTTATATGTAAGCACATATAGACACATACATACATACATTGGAATAAACTTTTTAAATCAAATTACAGCTGCGGATATTAGCAAATTTCGCTTAATAAGCACCTAAGGGACTTTTTAACGACGAATATATTATACACACATACGTACGCACGCGTACATACACACACACACATAATGATTTAATGATACGCTATTTAGTACAATACAATTCAACTCGAACATTAGTTGTAAGAAATGAAAAAATATATTCCTTATAGAGTTGATTTATTTCTACGAAAATTGTATTTATCGAGCCTTGATTTTTGCGTGATCTATTCTCTCGTTTGATTATTTGCTTTGTTGCTAACATGAAAATATGTAATTAATAAATAGACATTGATATTAATAAATTGTACGTTATTATCTGCTAATTATTTTCCATTAAAAATATGAGAATACAGAAACAATTTTTAATATTTAAAGATATTAGCTTTGTAAAATTAAAGAAAAAGGAAAAAACTTAAAGGAAAAGGAAAGTAGATAGCACTGTTAACAATGTAGAGCAAGTTAAAATTATCAATATACATATATATGAAAAAGCAACGGTAGGTCTTGTTACACTGCTTCCTTGCCCAAAAATTTCAAAACTTTTTTGTCGAGTTACGAATAACAAAATACGTCTGACGTCATAGATTAAGAAGAATGGTTGCAGTTAGAGAATGCAACTTTGGAGTGATTGATTTTTAGAAAATGGATGTTAGTAGATTTAAAAGTATAATTTCCAAAAGTACAATTGGTAATTATACAGAATACCCTCTCCACCTCCAATATCGATGAAAAAATATTTGGTAATTATTTAGAAGTCTGACAACACCTTGGATTTCGCTCAAACTCACTTATCTTATGTATTTTGACATGTAGAAGCCGAATTTATAAGTTAAAATCGTCGCTCGGCTTTACTTTGCGAAAAATAAATTGTTAAAGATAATTGGTATGATAGGTTAAGAAGCCTGTCATTGCAATGTAAAGTCTGTTTATTATAGTTGCATTTACTGTATTAATGTAGCATAGTGCAGCAACTTCATGAAAATACTTAAATTAAGAATATTTATATAAATAATTTTGGTAATTGTGAAGAATACAGGCCTCCTTATCAATTGCGGTGAAACTTTCCACAATTGTGTATTTTGGTGCGTAGAACGTGATTTGGCAAGAAAAAAGTGTTGCTCTCAAACGGATCAAAAGTTATAAAAATCTGAAAAATAATATGCATAAGGTTAGGAAATCTTTTTCTTCTTCTTCAATAGATGGCTCTGTGCATACAATAGATGCTCCAACGCCACTCACACGTTATAAGTCATAGAGGGAGGGAGTTCACAACGATCGGTTAGTGTTCAGTAGAAACAGTGGTGCGATTCTGTAAAGGCCCATTTATGCTGGCCGTAACCGTATGCCGGTAACTTAACGGCCGTTAACTTATGCCGCTAATTTAGACTTTCTGGTTTATAATGGTTTGCTGTATGCCGTAAATCATAGATAAATTCTAATATAAACTATCGTTTTGAGTTTATTAAAAACTGTCAAACGTGTATTACTTCACTTTTAACTATTTTGATATTCTTTGTATTAATGAAATGGATTCAAATAAGGTAGTTATATGTGCAATGTTTATAACAATCATTGGGTTAACATATTATGCTGCTAATGCAACACCAACTGCTAAAGCACACAGAAAAAAACGTCGTTGGACAGTACGTCCAATAAATAAACAAAGAAGAAACAAAGAACATTTTCATAATTTATTTTATGACATGAAAAGAGTTGATGAAGAACATTTTATAAAATATACGAGAATGTCGTCCGAATGTTTTTATATATTATTAAATCTTATTAAACATAAATTAGTGAAGCGCAGTAACCGACCATCGATAAGTCCTGAACATAGACTTGTTATTACATTATTGTAAGTATACAAATGTTATAAATTATGATAGTTAATTTTTGTTTTATAAATAATAAACGTAGCTGTTAAAATAATAGTATTATATAATAATATTACATAAATTATTATTGCAGTTATCTGGCACAAGGCTGTAACATGCAGGTAGTAGCATGGTCATTTTTAATAGGAAAAATAACTGTGTTTGTAATTGTTCGTGAAACGTGTGAAACCATTTGGGAGGTACTTTCTCCAATTTATTTAAAAACACCAACAATTGACGATTGGCGAAACAAGAGTAAACGTTTTTATGAACAATGGACTTCCCAACTGTTGCTGTTCTATAGATGGAAAGCATATAACCATTCAGGCTCCGAATAAATCTGGAAATGCCTATTTTAATTATAAAAAATCTTTTAGCATCATATTAATGGCTGTTTGTGACGCTGATTATATATTCACTCTCGTCGACATTGGAGCTTTTGGTTCACAAAGTGATGGAGGTGTTTTTAAAGAGTCTACTTTTGTAAAAGCATTAGAATCTGCTATAATAAAGTTACCACCAGATTCGCCATTGCCAAATACAAATAGTATGTTTCCACATTATTTTGTAGGAGATGAAGCCTTCCCATTAAAATCTTATATTCTGAGACCTTACTCTGGAAGGAATTTAGATAATCAAAAACAAATTTTTAATTATCGGTTATCAAGAGCACGACGTACAATTGAAAATGCATTTGGCATTCTATCGTCAAGGTGGCGAATATTGCGAAATAATATTATTGCTGATGTGGAAACTGTAGAGAAAATTGTTGCAGCAACAGTGTGTTTGCATAATTTTTTACGTATTTCTGAAGAACAAGTTCCTGTGCATAATAGAGTATATTGTCCTCCATCTTTTATCGACAAAGTTCATTCTGATGGGAACATTACACCAGGCTTGTTTAGAGAGGATCATGTGAATAGTTTCGAAAGAATTGGATGCTTAGGATCAAATAATGCTTCCAGAATCATGATTAGACTTCGGGACATTATGGCTAACTATCTTTCCAATGAAGGAGCAGTTCCTTGGCAATGGGATTATGTTCTTAGAGGATATAATCCCGAATAAGTATTCTCATATTCTTTTTATTTTTCATAATAAAGTATAAGTATATATATTAAAGTATTTGTTTAAATTATATTGTTTTGGGATATTTTCGTAATAACATTATGCTTATTATTGTAAAATACTTTTGTTCAGCAAGTTTTTTGCAATATTATTGTAACGGCCGAACTCCGCGGTTCGGTCGCTGCTACGCGTTTCGCGCGGATAATGCTCGTCGGAGTCCGGATTCGAGGAGGAGTAAAGCAGCGAGACACTTGATAATGGCAACCGAAATAACTTAGTTTTATTGTATGCTTACTGGGATACAAGAGTTCGACCCCGAAGGCGGTGTCGCGGGTTGCGTCTATAAGGCGCGTCGGTACGGTACGGTGCGGTGCGGTGAGCAGTACAAGCGCTCGTACGGACGGATAGGCCGTGCGGAAGGCGAGGCCTATTGCGCGACGCGTGTAGACGGTAACGACGGTAACGACGCAGTGATCGGTCACGCTTCGCGACGCTGGGCGTCTCGAATAATTATCGCCCAATACTCGCTTCGAAATCGCTCGCGTATAAATAGTCGCCGGACCGGAGATTTCGATTCCCGGTCGAACGCACGCACGCAAGTCGCGGGGTACGCGAAATGATTTCGTCCGTCGGGGCCGAGGACTCTCGACAGAGAAGACGTACGCACCTTCCCTTTTCCCTACGTTCGCGGAGGAAAGCGACCAAGTGCTGCGGACACTCAGCGGAGACGGCGGACGCACCGTCCCGGGTTCTTGGTCGCTAGACGGATCGCCTAAAGGCTGAGTACGCTCAGCGGAGTTCGCCGACGGACGAACCCCTGACTCAAGGCGGCGGGTAAAGGCGAGAGATTGTCGAGTACGCTCGACTGAGCACGCGCACGCACGAGCCCACGAAGACGGGAGACGGCCAAGTATCGAGTACGCTCGATCGAGACTGCGGACGCACAATCCCGTTTGCTTAGTCGCCGGTCGGGTAGTCGGAATACGGAAAGCAGAGCGAAACGGTCCGGATCTTCTAGCTATCGGCATAGAGCGTCTATCTAGAACGGCGGTACGGATCGGTCTGGTGACTAGAAGCTCGATCGCCGCCGTTTTATAGTTGATCGCGCTAGGATTGATATGGCGGCGATCGAGCGGCGCGCCTATCGGCGCGAGGCACGGTGACGGCGCGTGATCGCGGCCGCGCGCGCTAGCGGCAGCGCGTGATAACGGCGGCGCGATCGTTTCTGTACTTTAGGGTGGCGCAAAGCGCCATTCTTCGGCCCGACAGGTGGTCGGTCGGGCCGGTAGTAACGAGGTGCATCTGCGCCTCGTTACATTATATAAAATTGTATGTACAAGTACTCATATGCATGCACACACACACACACACATTACTTTTTTATTTAATCGTTTTGTGCTACGTCAAAATTGCGTTTATGCTGAATAATATTAATGGTAATGCTAATATTAATGCTGAATAATATATATGCTAAATATATTAATACATGATAAATTGGAGATTAATCATAATAATTAATACATTCCAAGAGAGCAAACAATATATTATTTATTTACTCGTTTATACGAAAATAAATTGTTTACAAAGTGTTATTGACTGTTTGCACTTATACTGAAGACTTATTTCTTCTTTTTATTATTATTATTATCACATTGAGTTGTAACCATTAATTATAAGAGCTAATATATTCTAAGGAATAAAAAGCTTTTTTTTCATATAAAAATTAATTGTTCACAAAATATTATATACACTGTTTGCACTTATACTTAAGACTTATTCCTTCTTGTTTCGTATGGAAGAAGCGAATGCGTGAACTCTGTATATAAAAACAAACTCTCGAGATAATCTAAATTTCACGTTTCTGGAAGTTTCTCGAGAGGATGCCTTGATTTGCAAGAAGCTTCCAAATAGTGCTAATATCAACGCTTCGATGTCACATTCCGAGTTGTTGTTGTTCCATTTTTTATGAACAGGTAACAATGTAAACTAGTTGTCCGAGCCTAGCTCGTGTAAATTCGTCAAAACAATACCAATGCTGATTAGAATACTGATTAAAAACTCGAGCACAAGACATTGTTTTCTTTCATGCGACATCGAAGGACGGTCGTATTCGTTACGCTTCAAGTTTGAACGTGAATCCAGATTAAACCAATCCCGCTCGAACACGGTTGGTTTTTCGCGAACTATAAATATTAAGGCTCAGGCGATCCGAAGAGACATCGTCATTCTTTACACAAGTCCGGTACACCGCAGCACTAAGTTAGGTGTCTCCCACTCTCTATACGGATTCTCGCAAGAGACATATCTTTTTTGTTGATTATTAAACGAGCTGTTTTTAAGAAAACAAATCTAGTGATTTGAAACACCTGTATCGTATCCAAACGCATTTTTATCGCAACTCTCTGTCACGTGGGAATCAGCGACATTTTATTGCACGTGTCTAACGTTCACCACTTTGCAACCGATCAACGAAGAGCTTCAGTTTCAACGCAGTGAAGAAGCCCATTACTATCATTACATTCGAGGCAAGAAGGTAACGTCTGATACACTTCTCATTATTATTATCACATTGAGTTGTAACAATTAATCATAAGAACTAATATATTTTGAAAAAGAAAACAATGTATTATGTTTTTATTCTGTCATATGAAAATAAATTGTTCATATAGTGTTATAAACTGTTTGCATTTATACCTCAGTCTTATTCCTTCTTATTATTATTACATTGAGTTGTAACGAACATTTTGTTTGCAGCGAACTTTTAGTAAACTAAATTACAATTGATTTAATAATACTGTAAATTAATAATTAAAATAAACATAATTACAATTAATAATGAATTAAATGAAAAAAACTATTAAACAACGCTACTAGAACTTTTACCACAACCCAATACAACTATATATATATATATATATATATATATATATATATATATACTTGTCGAAATTGGAGCTTTTGGTTCACAAAGTGATGGTGTTTTTAAAGAGTCAACTTTTGAAAGAGCACTGGAATCTGGTATAATAGTTATCACCAGACTCGCCATTGTCGAATACAAATAATGTTTCCACACTATTTTGTAGGAGATAAAGCCATATTCCATTAAAATCTTATATTCTGAGACCTTACCCTAGAAAGAATTTAGACGATCAAAAACAAATTTATAATTGTCGATTATCAAGAGCATAACGTACAATTAAACATGCAAAGCTCCAATGTCGACATATATATTTTTTTATTAATATATATTATTGTGAATCATAATAATATACACTTATATATTACTTTAGTATAAACTATATAAACTATAAAAGTAATAAAATGTAAAACGAAATAGTATTATAAGATGTGAAACAGTATAAAACGTTGTTTTTATACTAATTAGTATAAAGACAAAGTTTTATTCTGTATACCTTGAAATTATTTGCATAATATCAATTTTACAAGATATTAAGTCACTTTTATCGACACTTTTTAAATCTCCGTACAAGGAGTCACAAAAATATTTTAAAGATTCGTCTTCTGCACTTGCGGTATTCTGGTGAGTAACGAAACTTTTAAAAACATCTACGGCATTACCTAATTGTTCTTTAGTGTCCGGAGATTCTTTTTTATTTTGACTTGTAAGTCTCTTTGGTATAGATGTGTTTGATGTAATAAGTTTTTTTGCTGCAGATGCGTTTGGTGTTATGGATTTTTGTAATATAGATGTTTTTGGAGTAACGGGTCTATCTGCTGTAGATGTGTTTGGTGTTATGGGTCTTTGTGATATTGATATTTGTGATGTGACAGGTCTTTCTTCTGTAGATGTGTTTGGTGTTACAGGTCTTTGTGGTATAGATATGTTAGGTCTGTCTGGTGTAGATCTGTTCGGTGTTAATAATCTTTGTGGTGTAGATGTCACAGGCTCTTGCGATATAGGTGTCATCGATTTTGTTTCTTGTCTGAGATATGCTATCGTATTGTCGCTTAAAATATTTGAGAAAGATTGTAAAGATGCCTCCCTGCTAGGTGTGTCAGTGACAATCCCTGCACATGTTGAAAATTAACATAGTTATCAATAAAAAGTATTGTTCATTCAAAGTTTTATAATAATGTGTATAATATTTAACATTAGAAACTATGGGAGTAATAAGAAAGTATAATTTTAGATATACCTGTCTCATCATCTAAATACATGTAGTCAACGTATTGCATAGAGTCATCCTCTGCGATCAGGCTTTTTGCACTGTCTTTATAAAGATCATCAAATTCCTGTGCTTCTGAAGGGGAATTTGATTCGTCTTCCATCGCAATGTTCCCAAATGTTCGTCGTTTTTTCACCACAGAGTGTAAGAATGTTAGATATTTCATTAAGGGCCATGCCGTTTGCATAACTGATCCAGAAAGTATTTTTCTAGCTCTCTCTTTGGAAAATCTGTTACGTAACGACGTCCATCGAGCATTCATTTGCTAAAAGAAAATATATAATTATTAATAAATGGTATTTGACTAAATCTTAACCGAACTGTCTTAAGTAAAGAATTTTATATATATTTAGTTAATACATATATTTTATTTCTTCCATTATAAAATCAAAATGTCTTATCTTAGATATGTTTTATTATATTACTGTATTATAAACTATAACATGTATATACTCACTTGATTTTTGTAATTCTCCACTTATAAATAACCACGAATTGTCTATTACTGTTCGATCTTTATATTTTGGATTTGTCTTATCATATAAATGTGTAAATCTTTCCACTAAAGTTATTAATTTTATGTCATTATTCATTGAATCCATTTCACTCATATTTTCGTACCGCAGCACTTTGCACAAACCAGTATAAAAATGAGGTTATCTTGATTACAACCATAGACTTGTGTACATCAAGTTTGTATTTGTAACCAATCTCCATAGCATTTTCTTTTAAGATCGCTTGCCGTATTCCTTAGAAGTTAAAGTTGAGTTAACTTTACAGTTACGGCTTCAGTCACCAGTATACGGAAATGTATTGTGAACGAAAGCATTGTAATCCCAGTGTTGAACTTTACCGCTTCCGGCATAAGTTAGCGGTTACGGCCAGCATAAATGGGCCTTTAACTCGTTATTGGAGTTAACGACAGTTTCGTTATTGTTGCGCAGCTTTTCTACGGTATACAAAAGCTGCGCAACGATAACGAAAGTGTCGTTAACTCCAATAACGAGTTGCAGAATCGCATCACAGTGGGTGCTTACGATAATGAGAGTGGAGCGAGTGGAACAGAGTAGTCTATGCTCCCATCTATGACAAATGTATTCAATGGCTGATCCTGCTCTACTCCTGCCTGTCTCATACGGTACGAGCCAGGGGGTTCAAACTCCCCGTATTTTTTGGCTCCGGAAGTTCAGTTCAGTGGTTGGTGCTCCAGGCGGCAGCACAGTCGATCCCTCTCTTTTCCTCTCTCTTCCCCTTGTCCATAAGTTAATTTTGACTTGTTTTGCCTTGACCGTTAATGATTAAACAATTCAATACAGCATAGTGCAATTAACGCTAAACGCAAATTTTTCAGTGCTATTAGTGTTTATGTAGTGAATATTCTGTAATATATTATAACGTGTTTTTCTTCATTTTTAGTTCTATAGTAAATTATAGTGTTTAAGTGTATAAGTGATTTATAGTGTTTAAGTGTTTAATTGATAGTGTTTAAGTGATTTATAGTGTTTAATTATTATAGTGTTACGTCCTGGAGGAGGAACGCAACTTGACGCTTGCTTTCGCAAGCTCCGGCGTACTCGCAAATCTGCGGAACAGATCAAGGATCGGAATGACCCCTTTATCTGGCGCAGACGTACGTCGGTGGTCCTTTATTTAGGTCAAGGAACTGAATCCTTTTACCTGGGATAGGACCATGAGCGACAGTTGAGGGAAGGGAGAATTTTTGGTTGAGAATAATTATTTGGAAAAAGTGATTGGTTTGCAATTACAAACAACTTGTTTTATTAGTGATTAGACGGAAGTTCACAATGAAATAAAATTTGTAAGATTTTATAATGTGTCTGTATACATATGTGGTTAACAATCGCGCTCAGAACAATGATTCTCGATTACTCAGAACAATATTCCGTGTTCGTTATGTCCGACTGTGATCGAAAGGATTGGGCCACTGACGTCTGATTTAACAATTAAGGAGGAATGCCAAGGAAGATAGAAAATGGAAGTAAAACGAAAGGATAAGAAAAGAGAGAGAAGAAAAGAAAAAAAAATGAAACGAAAAAGGTCACTCAGGTAAAAGAAAATATAAGTAACTTACTGCTGGACTTCTCTGATTTTAGTAGACAATGAAAGATGTGGTTGCTGCGTCTCTGTGAGGATGGACCCAAGTTGCGCCAAGGACTAGAAACTGGTCTCAGCAGGATCTCTCGCAATGTCTCAAGGGTGCACGAGATCGTTGCACAGAAGAATAGATGACTGAAGAACACTGATCTGACTCACTAGTAGGGTTGGTTATCAAGAAACTCTGAGGGGTGTTGGAGAGAAGGCTCTGTCCTGGCTGCGGGTCGGTCGGGAGGAGAAATAGAAGTGGCATAGCTTTTTTACTTTACCAAAAACGTTACCTCGGTCGAGAGGAGGGGTTTAGGAAGTTGCGTCAGGCTCCAAAGTTTATGTCCAAATATGGGTATAGGATTTTGTTGCAAACTTTTCGGAAGTGGGGTTTTAGTAGGGTTCTTAGATAAATATGATAAAGGATCGGGTATCTATGGCAGTAAAAGATTTCAAGGTTTCGCTAGGGTTAGTCAGAGGTTGTGCGCGATAGGAATTTATGAATAACGTGGGAAACGCGTGAGTTTCCGAAGATCAAAGGCTGGCAACATCATATAACAGCATGAAAGATTGTCTGGTCGGTCCGTCTTCAAAGAAAATTATTGCTCCGAACGGGAAGTTATTTAAGGTTATTTGGAGAGGAGGTATATGGCCAAAATGACTCAACGGATCTTTTCCGACGGAAATAGAGGAAACTCTGGTGATTAACACAGAGAGAAAAGAAAGAGAAATCTGTGTGTGTGACGTCATAGTTCTCGGAGGGTCGCGGAATGTGAACATTTGGTAGTATAATATAAAATGCAATCCGCCCTACTTGACAACAAATTCAAAGTACGCGGAGTCCGCAGGACGTAACAATAGTGTTTAATTATTATTAGTGAATAATAGTGATTGTATTACATAAATATAGTTATTACAATATTTTATATATCCTTATTATATTAGATATTATATTATATATTATTAGTTTATATATTATTTATTATATTAGATATTATAATATATATTAGATTTCAATTTATTATATAATTTATTATAGTTATTAGTTATAGTCATAGTTATAATACAATTAAAATTTTAGCTACATTTATAAAAATATGGTGCATAAATGTTGTGTGTCCAATTGCACATCAAATAAAAATATTGTGCGTCCGCAGTCTCGATCGAGCGTACTCGATACTTGGCCGTCTCCCGTCTTCGTGGGCTCGTGCGTGCGCGTGCTCAGTCGAGCGTACTCGACAGTCTCTCGCCTTTACCCGCCGCCTTGAGTCAGGGGTTCGTCCGTCGGCGAACTCCGCTGAGCGTACTCAGCCTTCAGGCGATCCGTCTAGCGACCAAGAACCCGGGACGGTGTGCCCGCCGTCTCCGCTGAGTGTCCGCAGCACTTGGTCGCTTTCCTCCGCGAACGTAGGGAAAAGGGAAGGTGCGTACGCCTTCTCTGTCGAGAGTCCTCGGTCCCGACGGACAAAATCATTTCGCGTATCCCGCGACTCGCGTGCGTGCGTTTCGACCGAGAATCGAAATCTCCGGTCCGGCGACCATCTATACGCGAGCGATTGCGAGACGAGTATTAGGCGATAATTGTCCGAGATGCCCAGCGTCGCGAAACGAGACCGATCACCGCGCCGTTACCGTCGTTACCGTCTACACGCGTCCGCACGGCCTATCCGTCCGTACGAGCGCTTGTACCGCTCACCGCACCGCACCGTACCGTACCGACGCGCCTTATAGACGCAACCCGCGACACCGCCTTCGGGGCCGAACTCTTGTATCTCAGTAAACATACAATAAAGCTAAGTTATTTCGATTGCCATTGTCAAGTGTCTTGCTGCTTTACTCCTCCTCGAATCCGGACTCCGACGAGCATTATCCGCGCGAAACGCGTAGCGACGACCGAACAGCGGAGTTCGGCCGTTACAAATTTAATTAAATATTGTATTGGGAATTTTGGACAGGGATGACTAAATTTAATATTATTGCAAATACATATTAAATTATGAATAATTTTTGGTTGTACTATTAACTCTTTAATATTATCGAAAAAAACTATATTCTAACTTTTTTTATGTATTCAATAAACTCGTCATTTGGCATTAATAAACTGCCATAGAAGTTTTCTTCAGTAGAATTATATGCTTGAAGAAAACAATAATATGATGTGCTGTCTAAATCAATGTATTGTTTTGCATACGTTAAGCAAACATCACAAGAAATTTGTCCTTAATAATTTTTTCCGAGGTGAATTTTTTGATAAAATCAAATCTGTTTGTGTTTTTTTACTGCGTTCAGGAATAGATAATCCTTCATCTGCAAATAAATTTAAAGCTATATGCAGTTTCATAAAATATTACAATGTGATAAAAGTATTTCCTTTTATAACAATTACCTATTCCTTTCTGCATTTCTGTTGGTACAATATGAAGTACTAGGTTTTACATTATCTAGAATGGCTGATCCTATAAAACAAACATATTACTTTTTACACCATAAATAACAATTGGAATAATGAAACATATGAAAAATATAATGAAAATATATGCACATATGTACGTATATCTATACAAAGAGACAAAAAAGAAGAAAGAACAAAGAGACGGAGGAAAGATAAAATATAATAAAACTAATTTTGGGGTAATATTTTGGTCTTAAATAACTTACCTGCTTCTAATGGTTCTTAGCAATTAGACTGAGACATTGGAGTAGTTTTCCTCTTTTGTATATTACACTCTTTTATAGGAACAGCATACGACTGAAGCCTGTTTCGTAAGTCATTAAGAAACATTTCTTGTGAGAAATGTATAGCACAAACACGATAATTTTTATACAATTCCTTACATGTCTTCTTTATTAAATCCTGACGCCCACAAGCTTCCACCCAAAGTTTACTTCTATAACAATTTTTTTCTTTTAATTTTTATTATTAAATAAGTTGAGACTTTCATATATCTCATATAAAGAACGTATTAAATTCCAAAATAATTAAAACTAATTATTTAAAAGTTGTAAAATCTCTAAATATTTATATCATTGTGTATATCTTTTATAATAAATTCTTGCATAACCTTACTTTTTAATATATAACCATACCTTTTAATATCCTTAGGAAATCGGAAAAAGCTAATTTTATTTTCCGTTCCTCTACAAATATTTTTACATGTAAAAAAAGAACAGGAACTACCACCTCTGGCATTAATTTTATGTGGATAGTACACAAATACACTTAGATTTTTAATTTTTTGCTTTTTCACATATACGTTTCACATATATATTACATGTTTTCATTTATTCACATGTGACTTCGTAATAACAGTCCGCCATATTCTTAGCCGTACAGTCAACGCATGCGCAAAAGAAAATCGGATCTCTAAATCGGTCGTAACTGTATGTAGTTAAACTATGGCGACGAGCGTGCAGACGAGGAAGAGGAGCAGGACCAGCAAGACCCGACATAAGGTATATAGCACTGTTGAATAAACATGCAATATTTACAAGATATTGTGAAAATATAGATGTTGAATATTTCGTAAATATTCTAGTGTCCGACATTTTCAGGCATGGAAAGGGTATGATAAATATCTAAACATGTTTGTCATACGTATATTTATAAAAAGAATTCCGATTTATAAAAGATATATGAACAATATCATAAATATTTTTAGATATTTATCATATTTTTTCCATAGTTGAAAATCTCAGACATTAGAATATTTATCATATATATCCAACATCTATGTTTTTAAAATATCTTGTAAATATTGTGTGATATCTGAACAGTGAGGAGTAATACATCTGCTGGAAATATTTAGCTGAATTTCTCCCTCACATATGACGCAATTTCAATATTATTTCGTTAATGGCTGCGTTCAGCAGAACAAAGTGATCAGTGAGCGCTTAGTGATTATTTTGTCTGTGACTGGAGCATTCTTTTATATTTTTCATAGGCCCAGAAGTATTTGCCAATCAGGAGCGAGAATCACTAGCCGTTCACTGATCATTTTGTTCTTCTGAACGCAGCCAATGTATACAGTTTTCTGTAATACTCAATACATTTCACGGTATGTTGTTTAGTATGTATACAGGGTGTTTGATAGCTGATCATGCAGACGAAAGTTGGAGATAGATTGGGTGTAGCCGAGAAGAAAAGTCATGTACCATAATGTCAAATTGCCAATAGTTATCGAGTTATTAATTAAAACATGTGAGCCAACGAACGTGTAGAGAGCGGAGGGCGACCGCAGTAAGCCCGTAGACATTTGATACAGGCGGAGTCAATGAGTGGCGGTAGGCAAGCGCGCGCGGCGAGGAGCAACGTAAGCGACAAGAAGCGATCGCGCGCAACGAGGAGCGAGCGAGCTTTTTCTTCATAGCTTTTTCCTTATAGCTCGCTCGCTTCTCGTCGTTCGCGCTCGCTCGCTTTTTGTCGCTTGCGCTCGCTCGCTCCTCGTGGTTCGCCTTCGCTCGCTCCTCGTCACGCGCGCTCGCCTCTTGTCGTTTACGTTGCCCCTCGCCACGCGCGTTCGCCTACCGTCACTCGCTGACTCCGCCTGTATCAAATGTCTACGGGCTTACTGCGGCCGCCCTCCGCTCTCTATACGTTCGTTGGCTCACATGTTTTAATTAATAACTCGATAACTATTGGCAATTTGACATTATGGTACATGACTTTTCTTCTCGGCTACACCCAATCTATCTCCAACTTTTGTCTGCATGATCAGCTATCAAACACCCTGTATATTGAATATCACTGAAAAATGCCTACATTCATGAAATAATACAGAAATAGGGTCATGTAAGAGAGAAATGTAGCAAAGCATTTAGCATTTAGCATTTAGCATGCAGCAGGGATTATTCCTCACTGATTGCTGGTAGTAAAGTTATATGTTCTTCAATTTTTCATTTTCGTTCCCTGTATTTTATTTGACCTCATCTATTAATCGCGTCCGTCATATATATTAAAAAATATAAAAAATTTCTAAATTTACAGATGCATGGGACGAGGATGAGGTCGAAGACAACACTCACGGTCGCAGGAGGTCGAGAGAGAGAGAGAGAGAGAGAGAGAGAGAGAGAGAGAGGGAGAGAGGGAGAGAGGGAGAGAGGGAGAGAAGGAGAGAGGGAGAGAAGGAGAGAGGGAGAGAGGGTGAGAGAGGGAGGGAGAGAGAGAGGGAGGGAGGGAGAGAGAGAGAGGGAGGGAGGGAGGGAGAGAGAGAGAGGGGGCAGAGGGAGAGGAGGGTGCAACATGCACGCACACATACACATGCGCGCGCGTGCGCGCACACACACATACATACGCACGCACATACCACACGTTCTCTTCTCGAAGAGAGAGAAGTAAATCGGTACTTTTCAGCGCCTATTTTTAAAACATAACGGGAACACCTCAGTGCAATAAAAGGCATTTTTGAATGCCAATATCTGAATCGGTACTTTTTAGTGCCAACTTAGGCTAATATTACATGTATCGTACGACAAGCTTTTCGGATAGATTGATTGGCGTACGCGGAGCAATCCTAGAAATATTCTGTTTGTTAACTAATCAACGTATTCGAAAAGATTATCGTACGACAAATGTAATATTACCCTTATATTTTAGTGTATTTTCGACATTGTAACAAATTAAAAAAAATTGTTACAATAATAATAATAAATCATTAAGTATAATAAATTTGTAAAATATTAATAAAAATTTATTAACATATTTGATTTTACTTAATAATTAAGTGGGGAATACAGATTCGTGCATAATATATAATTGACAAGCAAATGCATTATCAGAAGTCATTTCCAGCTGTACGTAAACAATGAATGATTCTAATAAATTCATTTGCTTTTGCATTGTACATTATACACTTGGCCAAAATCTGTACTCCTTGCTTTACTTGAACCTAACCTAGCTGGTTGAAGTGGGAGGGGTGTAATAAATGAATATGGCAGAATCCGCTCGATATTTGGCGCCAATTTGCTGTGGAATTTTGTCATTAAGCTTTGCTCGGTATTTGACGTCAACTTGCTGCAAGGTTTTGTCGCCAAGCTTTGCTCGGTATTTGGCGTCAATTTGCTGTAGGGTTTTATCGCCAAGCTTTGCTCGGTATTTGGCGTCATTTGCTGTGGAGTATTGTCGCCAAAGTTTGCTTGGTATTTGGTGACAATTTGGTGTGATGTTTTGTCCGCAAGCCTTGCTGGGACCTTGGCGCCAATTTGCTGTGGAGTTTTGTCAGCCAGTCTTGCTCATTATTTGGCGCCAATTTTCTATATAGTTTTGTCAGCAAGCCTTGCTCATTATTTGGCCCCAATTTGGCATCAGAATATGTATACAAGCTTTGCTAGCAAATTCCGATGCTATTGAGGACACAGATGGCACCGGATTTGACAGCAAATTTTGTACAAGTTTGGTGCCAATTTGGCGACAATTTGCTACAAAATTTTTTGCTGGGATAACACGTCAACCGAGAAGTTTACATGAACGGTCATTATGGAAAGCTTCTGAATGGAGATCATGGCTGATGTGGTATTCTTTAGTATGTTTATATGGTATATTACCAAAAAAATATGTAGCACATCTTGCACAGTTAGTCTGTGCAATTCATATTTTTTTACAAAAATCCATTTCAATCGACATGATACGAAAAGCAAATTTACTGCTAAAAAAATTTGTTATTTTATATCAACAGTATTTTGGAAAACGTGCAATGACGTACAATGTCCATCTCTTACTATATCTTTCAAGCAGTGTAAAAAATTGGGGACCGTTATGGGTAATAAATACATTTCCGTTTGAAAATGAAAATAGATTATTGGTGCAAATGAAAAAATCTCCTACATATATTGCATTGCAAATTTCACGCAGGTTCCTATTGGAACAATCTCTTATAAAATTGTCTAGAAGTATTAAAATTTGTAACGGAGTGCAAAATTTTTGTAATAATACATACAAAAGGAAATTGAAATTTATTTCTAATACACAACGTTATACTTTAATTGGTTCCGGGGAAGAATATATACTTAGCCCACAAGAAGCACAATGTTTTCAATATAAAGTAATAAATTGTAAATCATATACGAAAATGATATATTGATTGATAATGCTTTATTGCTCCCCACTTAGTGGGCTTACACTCCTCCCATACAATTTCTCTCTCTCCGCGCCTTCCAACTTCCTTAACCTATTCTATCGCCATTCTGCCTCCTACCTACACACACACACGCTGCCCTATCCTGGACTTCCGTTTCCGTTTACATTCTCTCTTGTGGGTACCCTACCCTCTTCCCTCTCCCCCACCTTCCCCCTCTCCTTTCCCTTCCCCTTTCCCTTCCCCCTCCCCTTTCCCTCCCATCCTCCCCCTCCCTCCCCCTCATCTCCTCTATCCCCCTCATCCACTCCTCTCCCTCTCCTTCCTCTCCCAACACCCTTCTTACCGCTTCTTGCCAACTTACCCCCTCCCGACTCCATCCCCTTCCACACGTCTCCCATATATGCTCCTGTGTCTCCTCCTCCCCCTCACAAACCCTACATCTCCTTTTCTCTTCCTCCTCCCAATACCTCCCCCCTCTCACCTCACTACCTAATCTGAACCGAATTATTCTCTTCCATCTTTCCCCCGTCAACCCCCTCTCGAGATATTTCGGCACTCCTTCTCCTCTTATCTCCTTATACCATACATTATATCCCGACTCTCTTATCTTCCTCCATCTCTCCTCTCTTTGTCTCTCTCTCTCCCTCTCCTCTACCTCCTTATACTCCATCCCTCCCTCTCCTCCCTCTTCTATCCCCCTCTCCCTCCTGAACTCCTGTCTTTCCCTTTCCCATCTCCCTATTATCTTTCCTCTTCCCCACCTCCCCTTCATTTCTTCCCAGCATTTCCTCGCCATCTCCCCCCCTCCCCTCTTCCAGCCTTTTCTCAAAATTCCATGCTCTTCTGCCTGCTCTTGTCCTCATCATCTCCCTTCCCAGCTCTTCCCTTATCATGTATCCCGGCGTCCTTCGGTCCACTCCCATTGTCCATCTCATATACCTTTCATGCATTTTTCTATCTCTTCTCTCTCTTTCCATCCCCATATTTCCGCTCCATACCCCGCTACTGTCCACACCAATGTATCAAATAGCCATATTCTCTTTTTCCAATCTTTTCCCCATATCCTTTTTCCTATCCCCCATACTTCTCTCATTACCACCGCCGCCTTTTTCCTCCTGTCTCTCAATTGCTCTTCTTGCCCCCATTCCCTTGTATCCAGTATCCTAGGTACTTGAATTTTTTCACCTCCTCCAGCCTCTTTCCCTTCCATAACCATCCTATTTTTTTTTTCCTCCCTCCTCCTTTCCTAAATTCCTCATTACTTTCGTTTTTCCGTATTTAATTCCAAGCCTTTCCTATCCAAGTACCCTTCCAACCTATACAACATACTCCTCATTTCCTGCTCCTCCTCTGCCAGTAGCACCACATCATCCGCGTATGCTAGTGTATATATCTTTCCCTCTCCCAGTCTTACCCCTCCCCATCCTCCCCTCGCCATTTCTTCCTCCATGTCCGCCATCATTATATTAAAAAGAATTGGGCTCAGTGGACACCCTTGCCTGACACCCCTCGCCGTCCAAAACTCCTCTCCTATCTGCCCTCCCACTCTCACCCTACTCTTTGTCTCTCTCAGCATTTCTTCCACCCTTCCCACCAATCCTTCTCTGACCCCTCTTTCTCTCATTGTTCTTATCAACACACTCCTGTCCACCGAGTCGAACGCCGCTCTCAGATCTATGAATACCGCTGTCAACCCTCCCCCTTCCCTCCCTACCTGCCTGTTAATCAGATAATTCAACGCATATATTTGGTCTATTGTTCCCATTCCTTCCCTAAACCCTGCCTGATTCCCCGCCAATAATCTCTTCCCTTCCAGTTCTTCTTTCAATCTTTCCGCTAGCACCTTCGCATAAACTTTGTACAACGACGGCATCAGTGTTACTCCTCTGTACTCCTTCACTGTCTCCCCTTTCCCCTTCTTTATTATTGGCACTACTATTCCCTCCTTCCATCCCTCCGGCCATCCTTCTCCTCTCCACACCCTCCTGCAAATGTCCCCTGCCCACCTCCTCACCTCTTCTCCACCATATTTCCATACCTCATTTGGTATCTCATCCGCCCTCATTGCCTTCCCATCCTTCAATCTCCTTATCACCCCCCTTATTTCCTCCCACTCTATCTCCGCCTCCTCTGCCTCCTCTCCTCCCTCCCTTCCTCCTCTCACCACTCTTCCTTCTACTCCCCCTAATACCCCCATAAAATATTCTTTCCATTCCCTCATTCCTATCTCCCTACTTATTCTTTCCCTTCTTTTTCTTTCCTTATTCACCAGTTCCCACACTTTCCCTTCCGTCTTTGCCTTTTCTATTTCCCTCTCTATCTTCTTCTTCTCTTCTCTCTTTTTTTTCTCGCACAACCTCTTGTAATCTTTCTTTCCCTCCCTATATTCCTCCTCCTTTCCCCCTCCTCTCCTCCATTCCCTTAGCCTCTTTCTCACCTCCCTCTTCTCTCTTCTACATTCTTCGTCCCACCACCCTCTTGTTACGTCCTAGAGGAGGAACGCAACCCTTTCGTTCGCGAGTAAGGCGAACCTCGTTCGTACACGCGTGTCAGTGAACGGGTCAGGGACTCGACGGGTCCCTTTACTCGGGCACCGACGTACGACGAGAGGTCCGTTTTTCGGTTAGGGACGCGAATCCCTTTACCGGGGATAGGACCATGAGTTGACTGTTGGAAGGGTATATGTGATTTTGAAATCAATTGGAAAAAAATGAAATATAAACAGATTTATTAAAATGAGTATAATAACAAAATGAATTACGGCGCGGTTTAATACAATTGATGAATGACTGTGTATGTGTGTGTGTATGAGGAGTGAAAGAAGGAGGAAATAATAAAAAAAAAGGAAGGAATATGAGTAAAGAGCTAGTCGGGTGAGGGGGAGCGTGAGTAGTCGGGAGAATTTAAGGGGGTGGATAATTCAGAAAAAGAGACGGGAGAATACGATATTGAAGGGGTAGAAGGAGTAGAAGCGCGT